GTCCCTCAGTAAGATCCCACCGTTCTTTTATCTAGATTCTTCAACATTCTGTTAAGTTTTGAATTTTGTGCATGGTAAGTGGTATATCTTACCCTCTCCATTTCTAACCTATTGCTAGTATTTTTAAAAACCTATCAGTTTGTAAGTGTATTACATATGATTACTTTATATATTCTCTTTATAATCCTAGTAATTTTTTACCAGCATTTCATGGGGTTGTGAGACCAGTACAATTATAGATAAATTATACTTTTCTAATATTATAAAATTATTTTCTATCCTTATCTATTACATGAGAAAGAACATCAAAAAATACCGAATCTCACTGTTAGGAGTCAGCATCTATTTCCTGTGGCTGATTTTTAAAGAAATGGCTCCAGAAATTTGCCATTCAGTATATTTGCTGTAAAATGTTGGTAAATGTCTTTGTCATTCAATAGCTTCTTTCCTTTCCTAATTTATTAGAAATTTTATTAGGAAAGGCCACTAAGTGTTATCAAATGTCTTTGTGGCATTTTTCTTATAATCTTACTTTTCTTCTTTAACTTGCATTGCAAAAAATTAATGTTTTGTTCTAATTCAGACTTAATTTTTAATACTTGACAATGAGACTGTCCTAGGACCAGAAAGTGACCAAATGCCATTCCGGAACAGAGAAGGGTGATCAGACAGAACAGATCTGAAGGATACCACATAATTACTCTCTTAGTTCTGATTAATATTTTGGGCTATGAACTTTGCTTTTTCTGATATGAAAATTGCCACTTCTCCTTTAATTTCTTTGCATTTTCCCAGTACCATTGTCTATCCATTTATTTATTCAAGCATTGTTTGTCACCATGTTTTAGAAGAGTTTCTTGAAATAGAATACATTTGAACCTGACTTTTTACCCCATCTGGTAATTTCTGTCTTCTGAATTCATTCACATTCAGTGAAGTGATCGATATACTTAATTATATGCCTTCTGTCTTATATACGTTCTCTTTTTCCTTCTTACTTTTGCTGAAATTCACCATTTTTCCTCCCTGTCAGTTTTTCCTGTCCCTGTTTCCTCTTTCTCATTCCTCCCTGTTCATTTTTTCTCCCTGTCAATTTAGAAGTCCTACTATGCAGCTGGGCGTGGTGGCTCACACCTGTAATCCCAGCACTTTGGGAGGCTGTGGCACGTGGATCACCTGAGGTCAGAAGTTCGAGATCAGCCTGGGCAACATGGTGAAGCCCCATCTCTACTAAAAATACAAAAATTTGCCAGATGTAGTGATGCATGCCTGTAATCCCAGCTACTCAGGAGGCTGAGACATGAGAATTGCTTGAACTGGAGAGGCAGAGGTTGCAGTGAGCCGAGATCAAACCACTGAACTCCAGCCTGGGCAATAGAGTGAGCCTCTGTCTCAAAAAAAAAAAGGAAATTCTACTATGCTGTAAAGTTCTGCTCATGGTTACAATTTCTCTGAATCATCTTTAAATATATACATATACAATACATATATACGCTATCAAAAAATAATTTTATAATATGTGTATTTTTATATGTATATGTGTGCCTATATGTGTGTGTGTGTGTGTGTGTGTGTGTGTGTGTGTATGCATACATAAAACGTGCAACCATGCACCAAAAATCTTTACCTGCTTATACCTCCCCTGACGTCAAGCAGGATAGAAGTTTTAGTTCTAGGTTATTAATAAATTTTTCTTTCAAGGATGACTCTTCTCTTTAAAGAATCCCTACTTAGCATTTATATTACAAAGTCCTAGTCTTGCCATTATTATCTATTTAATTTTAATAATACATATATTGCAAGATTCATTGCTCCCATTATTCTTCTTCTTTTTGTCTTTCCCTGTCTTGGGATTTCTGTTCTGAATCAATTGTCATTTGATAGAGTATTTCCTCAAGTGTTTTCCTCAGATAAATACATGGGCAGAATACCTTTTAAATGCCCACACTTCTGAAAATGTTTATTTTGCCCTGACAAATGAATGTATCTTTCCTGGTTATTAATTTTTGGACATCGGTCTTTTTCCCTCAGGATTCTACAAATGTTGTTCTAGTGTTTTAACTTCTAGCATTGCTGATTAAAAAAAAAAAAAAGTCTGAAGCTAATTGATTCTTTTTCCATTGCAAATAAATGTTCTCTGGGTCTCAAAACTTTAAGATTCGTCCTTATCCTTTGACTTCAGGGATTTCACCAACCTGTATTTCCACTTGTATTCTTACATTAATCCTGCCTGGAACTCAGGAGGCCTATTCCTTCTCCATTTTTTTTGCTCTTCTACCTCCAGACTTCTTTTGTTTTCATGTTACGACTTCTGGATCTGCCTTCTGAATTTATTTACCACCTCTAGGTAATTCTGCACTATGTTGGAGGGGGTATTTCATGAGCTTTCAGAATTGACTCCAGAAATACTTTAATTATACTCTTCATCTATTTGATTTTTTTCAATCAAATATCAAATTCGTTTGTTCAGTTACAGAAGGGTTATTTTGTTTCTTTTCTTCTAGATCACATGATTGTATCTCCTTCAAAGTTTTCTCTGCCTTTTTTTAACCAAGTCTTCTCTAGTCTTTTTCCAACATGGTGAGAGTGGAAACAATGATTTTGGTGTCTGGCTTGCTCTTCTTCCCTTGAAGTACTGAGTCTCCTTCAGTGAAAAATTGCTTTTTCCTTCCTAATGGCTTACATTCCCTCAGCATCTACACAGACCAGGTCATAGCAGTCTCTGCAGCACTGGCAAGCCAGTGAGCAACGGAACAAATATTATTTCCTGCTCTTGAGGTCAGGCCATGAACAGCCAGCAAATAATGGCTTCTTTGCTAAGGTGGAGGGAAGAAGCCTCTCTGCTGCCAGACCTCCAAAGAAGCAAGCTTACATCCTAACTAAAGCAATGGAGCAAATCAGCTCACCTACACAGCATTCTTCCAGGTCTCTGGTTAAATTGCAAAGGTCCCATGAGAACCACATAAAACAGGCAGGCAGATATGGCCCTTCTTTGAGGGAATCACTGGATTCTGTCAACTACAGCCTTTGAGGAACCACACAATGCTGGTCTTTGAGCCAAGCAATGAGAATAAACAAGCTGACCTCTCTGCCTCTTGTCTCTCAGTTCCTTCTCGTTTCCAAGGTGAATAAAGTCCCATAAAAAGCCTCTCCCTCAGATATTCTGGCCTAAGATACCCCCTCCAGCCTTTACCAACTGGCCTGCTCAGGCTTCTGTATATAATCTGCCAAAATAAAAATTGAAAACGAGAAAATTCAGGGATGTGTGATTGAGCTGTCATCTATTCAGAATTCCTCATCTCTTTACCTTAAAACAACCTTCCTGTAAGCCTTTGAGCTATAATAAATACTTTCTAGTATTTCTTCTCATTAACTAAAGCCTAAACAAATTTAGTTAACTATTTCAATTGTTTTCCCATATTTTTGAAAAAAAAAAAAAAAACAAAAAAACAAAGCAAAACACTCGAGAATATGGTGATTCAGTTTAGAAACAATGCTAAGCACAACTCGGCCTATATAGACCTCTTACAATAACTGTCAAATCAACAGGTTGGGAATCTGTTGCTCCATAGGAATGGTCTGCCCTGCTTAAATGTGCCCACTCAACTCTAGGCTAAAACCTGGTCATGAACCTCTAAGTCCACTCACTTGCATAGTTCTTCATGCCCTCTGCCACCAAAGCTGTTCCTCCTCCATCTGTCTCAGCTCTACTCTTCCTCTTGCTACAGGGTCATCCCATCTAAAGTAGGCTCAGCCCATAAATCTGTCTCCTTTCACTGCTTTTCTTTTTGCTTACAACACTTAAAGCTTCATGAAATTATATTTCATGTGTATCTTTGTATTCTGTCTCCACCACTAAACCACAAGCTCTGTGAGACAATGTTGGTTTCTTTTTAAATAAAGAATGCCTATAGGTAGATGTACCTAATCTCTAGTTTGTCTCAGGACCCAACCTTGCCTTACATACAACCAATTCATGAGTTATTTTACCTCTTGGTCTTAGCAGGCATTTGTGTTTGTAACTCTTGCTCAGAGAATACCTAAGTCTCATCCCCAGAGTGAAGCCTTCCCCAATCACCCCAGCCCTTAGCGGTGATCTTCCTGCCTCCCTGTTTGTGTCACCACTATCAATTCATCACCTAAGCTAGAAATCTGGGTGTCAGCCATGATTCATTATTCTTCTCCTACAATTACTATGGGGTTCTAATTCTTTGTACATATGTCAAGAGCCCAAACCAGTGCCTGACACAAATAGGTAATCCATAAATATTTGCTGAATGAAGGAATGGAACAAAAATGAAAAGTCTGTTTATATTCTGACCACACTCTTGCCTATGTCTTCCCCTGGGTTTAGATGTCTGGATACAGCACTCTTGACTGGCACAGCCTGAATTCACTTCTACGGTTTGTCCTCCGTTGAGTTCAGGGCCCTACACACCAATCTCAGAATCATCCTTAGACTCTGCCTAGTCAGCCCTTTCCTTCAGGCCTAACATCATTTGTTTACATTCTAATGTCGTGAGATTATACCCCTCCATTACTGACTGACTGTTCACTTATAACCTGGCTGCTTGGCCTCTTGATGTCTTCTAAGCCCCAGTATCTCAATGCCTGGGTTAAGATGCTTAAAGTCTGACTGAAGGTTCCACTAAAATCACAACCTGATAAGATGATATGCAGGTTTATTGCAGTACAATAAATATATAATTAATGTTTTAGGGTTTTGAAACAAGTATGTTCTGTGTGACCATATATAATGCCGATAAAATATACAAATGCTATTTCAATTACATCAAGTTTTAGTTTGTGAAGCACCACAGTTTCATCAAAAAGTCAACAGATTGCTATTCTATAATGTTTAGCCTCTACATTTGCTTTTGATGTAAAAATGCTTTTAGGGTGCTATTTTTAAAAGCATTCTCATTGTGATTAAAAGTAGACTTTCTAAATCATCATTGCTCCTAAAGTTTATGATACTAGATAAAGAATGAGATAAATACCTTTGTTATATAGAAGATACAACAAGCTATCATGTGCTGTACGCTTTCAAAACTCGCAGTATGTTTCTTCGAGTAGACGATATTTGGTAGTCCTTGCAAAACCACTATACACTTTATCAAGATCTAAAAATTAGAATCATAATGATTTTTGTTTTAAAATGTCATCCTTACTCATTTCATTATAAAATGTTCCATTCAAATCATGTCAGCTTTAAGACACAAAATTTTATTATCATCAATAATTATTAATAAATTGTTTGTTAGGAATAAGTACACTGAGATAAAGTTGGTACATTCCATTTTGAGATAAGTCTTTCATCTACAGTAACTTGAAAATTAGTGGATAGAATTAAAAAACATGCAAATAACCATAAAAACACAAATAACCATAAAACAAAGCATATTTTGTTAAGTATCATAAAAGGTATAGTCAGAATGTTACATGTATATGAGAAACTATCACATCCATGTATAGGAGAATCTTGTAAAACCAGATGGAAGATTATATGGCATAAATATTACAGTGATTCCAGGTACTTAAAATAATAGTTTCCTTTAAAATTAAAACCAGACATTCGTATCTCAGGAAATCAATTAATATTGGTGCTTACTTCCTATTCTGCTTGTTTCATTTTATATGATCCTAAATTTGACCAAAAGCTAGATGAATAACTTTAGCTTTTCAAAAGTAGCTTTGAGATTGCATCAATCTATTTATCATTTAGATTAACCCAAAGGACAAATTAATATATGAATGTCGGTTCTTTGGGGGCATATTAATTGCTTCAAGTTCTCATTCTAACAATATTATTATTGTTGCAGTACATTCGTCTCTAATACTTTTTAAATTTCTCCCCTCCCTAATCACCTTCTCCCACGCTGTAGGATCCCTTGAATGTGATGAGCTCATCAGTCTCATGCATATATTACCCTAGATAAGGCTCCTCACAGTATACTGGAGGAGACTCTCCTATGGCCTTGAAAAAGCAAAGTGCCATGATGTGGAAAGGCCATGTGTCAAGGAACTAGTAGTTGGCCTTTAGGAGCTAAGGACCTCCTATGTAAAACCTCAAGGAAATGAATTCTCTCAGTAACAGTGAACTCAGATAAAAGAAAAAAACAAAAAACAAAAAACAACAACAACAAAAAAAACAGTGAACTCAGAAAAAGGCCTCAAGCCTCAGACGAAATCACAACCACAGCCAACACTTTTTCGATTTCAGCCTCATAAGACCCTAAGCAGAAGACCCAGCTAATCTGTATCCAACCTCTTAACCCACGGAAACTATGAGACAGTAAATGAGTGTCCTTTCAAGTCACTAACTCCATGGTGATTTGTTAGAAACATGAAAAACTGTATAATCCCTTCAGCCAGATGTCAGCTACCCTTTTTCCATAAATCCTAACTCCTCCATCACCAAGACACCAGGTATTTTTTCTTGGGTCATCACCATATTTTTTCCCAGATGATGGATTTAACAATATGCCTTGAATAAATACTATTGTTTCTGACACTATGAGAACATAAAAATTAAAATAACTTTAAAACTCTAGAAAAGTAGATTGCCAATATTTAAATATGGATAGGAACAGGGCCAAATATTTTCAGAGAAACCCATTTTACATCTTTATCTATGTTTGCCCAGACATACTATTAAAGTGCTTTTCAGTTAACTCCTATATTTTCATAATACTTGTTCCTGACCTATTTGCCCTTTACAAGAGATACATGGCTTTTCTTTTCCAAAATGAATTGTTAAGTTGCCTCTATAAAGACTGCCTTTTCTTGGGGAGAGGAATATCCTTACCTGTACAACAGGTACCAAAACAATATTGTGATAGATTATGGGAGCAAGAAGGCCATAACATTGAGTCACAGCTTGAAGAGCATAGCTGGAATCATTTAGAGAGTTGCTAAGTTCCAATGCCACTAATACTCTCTCACATTCAATCAGTCTGGCAATCTGTAAAGAAACAGGCACTGATATTCAGACTCAACATAGGTGCTTAGCTTATGTGTCTCTAAGGAGAAGAAAGGGTAGAAAATATGATCTTTCTGGCTAAAAACATGAGTGTTTGTATTTTTAAAAATCTAATACATAAACAACTCTAACTCTCAATAATGCTATCTATAGATAGCACGATCTTAGAATTAAACTTCAGAATTTTTCATAAAACAATACAAGTGCCATAACAGAAAAGAAACAAGTTTTATTTATTGATAAGCTAAAAACTTGGCTGTATTTTTATGTTAAAGAAACATCTAGTTTTCAAAAATATAAACTATAATAATTAAAATATAAAATCTCTATAATATTGCCCCCATTTGATTAACAGAGTTTCATTTCCTTTTTTGATTTGGGAGAAAATGGTAAATTTTCAGCAAACCAAGCTAACCTCCTATTATACTTCTATTAATTATACTTTTACTATTTAAATTAAAATGATAGTGAAATGTAAAGTTAAGGTTTTGAGAGTAAACGCCACTTAAAAAGAATAGTAATCCATTCTTACTCCTCTTTTTCCTTTCCTGGGGAAAGATTTCTTTCTTTTTTCTTTTTCTTTTTTTTTTTTGAGACAGAGTCTCGCTTCATCACCAGGCACCACGCTGGAGTGCAGTGGCACAATCTTGGCTCACCGCAACCTCTGCCTTCTGGGTTCAAGCAATTTTCCTGTCTCACCCTCCCAAATAGCTGGGACTACGGGCGCGTGCCACCACGCCCAGCTAATTTTTGTATTTTTAGTAGAGACAAGGTTTCACCATGTTGGCCAGGATGTTGATCTCTTGACCTCTTGATCCACCCACCTTGGCCTCCTAAAGTTCTGGGATTACAGGCGTGAGCCATGCGCCTGTAATCCCTGAGAATCTATCAATAGGAGACACGTTACATTCCTGTCTCCATAGAGACAATATTACAATTGAAAAAAATGTGGCAGATTGATATATAGCAGCATGAAAACATGTGCAAGCTATATTATAAAAGTGTTTAAAAGGCAAGTCACAAAATAAGTAGATCAAATCCCATTTTCATAAATAATAATAATATCAGATTTGTCTAGGCATATGTTTTTAAATTAGAGAAATTATATGAAAGCAAAATTGTTGTATTCTAAGTGGTAATAAGATTACAGTGGCTTTTACTTTATACATTATATATTTTTGAATGTCTGAAATATATAGTACTTTTGTACACAGGGGGGAAAAGATAAATTGAAAAGAAGAGAAAAAACCATGAATTCAGGCCTGTGAAACTTATATGAAATATCACATAAAGTTGCATAATCATACAGTGTCCTTTCAGTCCATTCACCAGATGAGCTATTCAATCACTCAAAATACTTGACCTTAAAACATCAAGAAGAAAATATAGTGAATCTGACATGTTTTAATCACTCTAATTCACTTACTTGTTGAGATGGGAAAACCTCATTGCCTTTAATATTATCACAGAAGAGATTTTCTTCTTTAATTTTGATGTCACTTATTACAAAAATGTTTCTGAGAAAAAGGTATAAGAGGATTGAAGAAGTCTCTGCCAAAATATCTGCATGTAATCTGCAATATAAAGCAAATAGCAGGTTTAAACATAATATGATTTAGCAGGTCAACTGGTCTTTTTATATTGATTTGTTCTCAGTATCTACACAATGATCCCAAAAAAAGCAACAAAAATGTTTAGAATAGCTATTCTTGCAAAGACAAGTTCACAACTAAGAAAATTAAACAACTGAAATATTATGTCACAGATATATAAAATTAATTGGTGACAATTTTTTGGTTCTAATACATAGTTTTTTTTTTATCAAGATAACAAAATGACTACAGATTTTCAGAAGGTTGAGAAATAGGCCCAATGTTTCAAATTAACACATTTCCTGAAAATGAGGGTCATTGATAGCAAACTCAGCCATGGTTTAAAAGAGAGCCTTAACAACGCTTAGATTATTTCTAATTATCTTTTCTAAATTGCAATTGACAGAGCCAACCATTGGCAAAGCCTTTCTTGTATCCAGTATTCCCTTCCTTGTCCTTAGCCTTACTTGGTGGCAAACCCTTCCTCTTAAGCTTCGGGCTTATCTACTCTCTATACCCCATCCCTATAAAACAGGACAGTGGCTAATATCAGTAATATCAGTAATTCACACTGAAAGATGATCACTTTCATGACCATGTTAAGCTTTAAAATTATCTTTACCAGGAGGATTTTGGTGTTCTCCCACTCTTATAACTCATACTAAACCAGCTCTTGGTCTCATGATGACCTTTGGCACCTTGACATGTGCAATGAGTACAAGTTGTCACCTCCTGGCTCCATTTCCTTCTCTATCCAGCCCAGACTTTGGTCAGTCCTTTCAATAATCATCTTTTTAGCAGGTTAGGTTCTCTCACCTCACTTTGTACAATAATCAATTTGCCTGACCTTGCATACATGTCACTGTCCAATTTTTCTATCTCTGTGGCAATGATCAATCACTTACTTGTGGATTTTACTCACTCATTCTTTCTTTCATCCACACTAGCAATTGCAGAATGCCTCCTAATGTACAAGACACTGTTCTAGACCCTTGGGTCTTTAGCCACAAGGAGCTGGGCTTCAGTACAAATTCATGTTCAATTACATCAACTGAGTCAGTACTGCATCTCAACAACACTTCCATTTATCCCTGATGTCTGCTTGTTCACATTTCCCATTTAAAAAATCATTCTAAATCCTTTGCTCTCTCTACCCCATGAACTCTAATGTCCTCCAGGCTCTACCACCATAGTGTTATCATTGCCTGCATTTCTTGCAACGTCAGTCTCTCCCTCTCTTCTGGCTCCCTTCCCTCCACACTCCACAATTCTTTCCTTCAGCCTGCCTCCCCACTAAGCTTCTGCCTGGTCTCCTCCTCTTTAGCACCAAACTTCGCATGAGTGGTCTTTGCTTGCTAGGATTTTTCGTTTTCTTGTTTTCCTTAGCCAATTCCAAAATGGTTTCTGGCCTATCATGCTACAAAAAGTGAATTCACCAATGGCCTCCTCATTGCCAACTCTTCTTCATTTGTATTCTACTCAACCCTCTCTGTGGCATTTTACTGAGCAGCTACTCTGCCTGACCTCGCACTGGCATTTAATATCGCTGGCCGTCCCTCTTTGGTGATACTTTCACTTTCCTTAGCAATGCACTTTCTTGGACTTTCATTTTCTGGACAGCTTCTTTTCAATATTCTTTACTGGTTCCATCTTCTGCTTCTGCCCTCTAAATGTTAAGCCATGCCTAGAGTTCAATTCTGGCCTTCTATCTTTTCTGTTAAATAGTCGTTTCCTGGGAGATAATCATTCATTTTCAAGATCTCAATGATGAACTCAATGGACAATTTCTAAATCTGTATCTCTAGCCTTGATGCTCCCCTGAGTGTCAGCACTAGATAAATAAACCTACTGGCATCTCATATTCACAAAGGCGTCCTGCTGGAAAACTAAACCCAAAATATCCTCAATCAAAGTAATTATCTTCCTCCAAGAACTTGTTCTACCTCTCATATCCCCTTAGTAAATGTCACAGACTTCCCAGTCGGTTAACACTAGAATTCCCAGTCACTTTTCACTCCTTTCTCTCTTATCCCCACAAGTCACATAATATCTAAGTCCTATCTCTTCCTCCTCCAAATGCCTCTCAAATCCATCCCCCCATAGCATGTAGCATCCCTGTACAAAGAAAATGCTAAGTCTGTATTTGTTTAATTGAATGGAATTATCAATGCCTTGCCTGAACCAATATTTGCATATTTGAGCTCGTTATCTTTGATTGAGGAATGAAGGGTTTTGTCTCCTTATTTTAAAACTTTCAGGTATTAACAATCAGGTGAGGGAGATTGTTGTTGCTTTTGAACTTGTTATTGAGACTGCCTGAAATTACACTAATGCTCATTTCTGAGCTTGCTTCAAAACTTTGTTCTTTTAAGGAAAATGGCAGTAAAGACAAAGGACTGTAGTTTTATATGGCTTCTACTGGCCTAATGGCAGTTTCCAGTGGTCTAATCCTGGGAGCCTCTTCTAGCAAAGGAAAAGCTTTCTTACCATAACAGTCAACCTGTCACACCATAACCTTAATCCCAATCTGACCGTTCTCTGATACAAAAGCTCCCAATGCATATTTGTGTTTTATGACATAACTGATATTACTTTGGTTCGCAGTTGGTCTTCTTACTTCATAACCTTCAACCTTATGCCTCCCGTGTTTCTGCTGACTCTGGGAAGAAAGTTTCTCAGCCAGGTAATCCCAGTACTGTAATCCCATGCCTGTAATCCCAGTACTTTGAGAGGCTAAGGTGGATCACTTGAGGCCAGAAGTTAGAGACCAGCCTGGCGAACATGGCAAAACGCCATCTCTACTACAAATACAAAAATTAGCAGGGCATGGTGGTACGTGCCTGTAATCCCAGCTACTCAGGAGGCTACGACACGAGAATTGACTCAGCCCAGGAGGCAGAGGTTGCAGTAAACCAAGATCACGCCTGGGTGACAGAGTGAGTGAATATTAAAAAAACAAGAAAAACAAAACAAAAAAAACAGAAAGAAAGTTTCTAACAAGCACATGAGACCTCGCAATGTATACTCTTATTACAATTCTTATCAGAAATCATTTTATATGAACTATGTGAAAATGATACTGAAAATAATTCCAGGCTTCACATCCAGCATCTGTATTTTCAGTAAGCAAATTAATATTTTAAAAGAATATTTCTAATTACCTTCTCTGTGTAATAGTAATTATATTGCTTAAACAAATAACAGATTGTTCATCCTGAAGTGGGGAAGCAACAAAATAATCCCAAACTGGTGAGAAAACTTTCTTAGCCAACTCATAGTTACCAACTTGATAGGCAACCTACAACAAAAAGCACATAGGTTATGTAATATTTTTGTTTGTGAATGCATGTTTTAAACAAGAAGTCATACAGTATACAACGTATGACAGCATCTTACACAGTGCTATCACTCACTCATTTCAGACACAATTATTCACATTTGCTCTTCTGTTCTACAGTGCCATAGTCAGGTAATGGCTACTGGCAAGGGAGACAGATGCATTTTTGAAATCTCTTTTATTTCTAAATTGCATGGAAATTTGAAACTCTGTAAGGATGTTTCAAATCCTCATAAGCAAAACAAAGATCACATCTGAGCCAAATTAATTTCATTTCCATCTATCTCGGCAGTGCACTCCATTTATTATAGATACTGTTATAATGAACAATCTGTTCCAAGAGAAACAATCAGATTTCCCAAACCCAATATATGAAAAAATACTTTATTCTTTTCTGGTTCTGACTGACACTTTCAGGGCTTTTGTGCAACAAAAAGTTCACAGCTGAAAATAGTAAAGAGTAAAACAGAGAAGCCTTCCAAGAAGGCATGGTATGTTTTAAGTTTAACAAATTTAACATTAGGCAAAATAAATGATTTCACTGGTGAAGCCAAGAAGCTCAAAAGAAAAACACTGACATACCTATTTTTTATGGTAGAATATGTTTCCTTAATGATGTTTCTAAAAGCATTCCATTTAATATGTAAGTAACAATACAAAATCTCACCAAATGAGTTCTGTACTGCTTCAAATCCTTTATGGAAGCAGCTAAGGTACAAAGTATAAATGCATTCATGGAATGAAGTGAATGACACATTACTTGGATATTCTCCACTCCACAGAATAACTTAGAGGGCCAGAATTTTTCAAATCTGCCAATGAATACTCATGATCATCCAACCAATAAGTTTCTATGAAGTTTCTAGTCTGTGTCAGGCACTGTGGAGATAGACTCTTCAAAATTTAGATACAGATGGTGTCAGATTCTATGAAACTGGAATCAGGTTAAAGGCATAAAACCCATAACATCACAGAAAAACTAAAAAGAATTATGTAATAATTGCAGAGGCTTTGGAAAACTAGACATGAAGACTTCAAGGAAAAGGCAGGGCTTGAGTTGAGCCCGAAGACAGAGATAAGATTCAGATTGGCACAGTTAAGACAGAATCTGCAAAAGGTACAGAAATTGAAGTACATTTAGGAAAGACTAGAGAGACAGCTCAGAGTTTGAAAAAAGAAAAAAAGTAGACATTTCATCCCTCCAAGGTCTGAGGGGGAAAAAATGAAAAAAAAAGTGGGTAATATGATTGGACATGATTTCAGAAGGCCTTCAATCAGATGGAAGAATTTAAAGATGTCAAGTACTGAACTAAGCACTTGATGTGCATTACTGTATTTATTCTTCATCAAAGTTCTACAAAGTGAGCTCTATTGCCATTCCTATTTGTGAATGAGGAAACTAGAACACTGAGAAGTAGAATAATTTGTACAGAGCCTGACAGTCAGTAAAAATAGCGAGGACAAGTCTTAGAGTGGTAAATGAGTCACTTCTCTGGGCTACATTCATCAAATGACCCAGCTGTACTAAGTGGTCACTGAAATATAAATATACATAATTAAAATATATAATTATTAAAATTTATCATGGACAGCAATAACAGATAATGTGTAAGAGGGTTGGTGAAACTATAATTAACTGTTCTTTTCTTATAAAATGTATCCTTTCTAAAATAATGTTATTTGTTCAATTAGCTAACATTGCAAAACAAGAAAAGATACTGCGATAAAACTAAGGTTCATAAAATTGTTAGATTTTGTGAGATTTTCTTAACAGAGAAGTGCAATGATATAAACATGTTCAAAAAGGGTTAACGTGGTCCTGGTAGTGATGTGCAGAACAGATTTTAGAGGGACTGAATTAAAATAAGAAAGAAGCACTAAAAGATGAATGAAATAATGAAGTACAGCAGACACCTCCCCCTTGATGCCTGACCTTTGCTTGGCTTCCAGGACTCCACACTTGGTTTTCCTTTTACTTCTTGTCTTCAATCTCTTTATATTGGTATGGCCGGGGGTTCACTCTTTGAACTGCTCCTCTTTTCTGTCTACCCTTGTTTCTTAATGATACCATCCAGCCGCCTAGTTTCATCACATGACTACTCTCATATCCCTCTCCTGCCCAGACGTCTTCCCCAAACTCCAGATTCGTACATCTGATTACTCAACAATTCTCTCCATATACGCTAAATACCTTACCTCAGCATGCCTCGAACTGATCTCCCACTTGCCCCAAGCCTCCACCACTCACAGCCTTCCCCAACTCAGTGATGTCAACTCTGTCCTTTCAATTGCTCAGCTAATACCTTAAAGTCATGTTTTATTTTTCTCTTTATGGACTATTGTTAACTCCTCCTTCAGTACATGTCTGGATACTAACCACTTCTCACTGCATCAACCACTTCCACACTGGCCAAGCCACCTTCACCTCTCACTTGGTTACAGCAGTGGATGGCGCTGTCACTTTACCCCCTTATGATCTATTTCCAATGTAGCGGCCAGCATGAACCTTTAAAAACAGGGGTCACATTACATCACACCACTACTCCAAACTGTCCAATCGCTGTTAACTTCACTCAAGTCAAAGCCAAAGTCCCTGTAATGCCCTGGAAGTCTTTTCATGATCTACCCACTCACCTCTTAGCTGTTTGACCCATCCTTTTACTCTCCATGGATCCCTGTGCTCCAGCCACACAAAGCCTCCTGCTGTCTATCAAGCATACCAGGTACACTCCTGGAAACCTTAGGGCATTTGCTCTAGCTGTTCCTTCTGTGAATGCTCTTCCCCCAGAGAGCCATTCCTTCACCTCCTTCAAGTCTCTGCTTAAATCTCACCTTTCTTGATCACCCTATTTAATATTGCAATCTACCTTCCATTCCCCTACTTCATATTTCCAATTTGTTTTACACACTCCACTTGGTTTTTCCATAGCACACATTGTCTTCTGAAATACTAGATCATTTACTTATTTACTGTGGTCACTGTTTATTACCTAGCTCCTACCATGGCATTCTGTTCATGTTGCTTACAACAACAGTTCCAAAAGTATGGTCCCTGGGCCATCAGCATCACCCAGGAACTTGTTAGAAATGCAAATTCCCAGCCCCAAATTCAGACCTAGTGAATCATAAACTCTGGCAGTGGGACCTAGCCATCTGCTTAACCAGCACTCCAAGTCATTCCTATGTGCACTCAAGTTTTAGAGTCACTAACCTGGGGCAATGCCTGGCAGAGTACGCACTCAAATAATGTGTTGAATTAATTTAAAAATTCTCTTTTCCTGATAATTTCCTTCTACCCACAGAGAAGGACGCCCAGCAGTTGTACTAGACTACAGCATGGTTGATAGGGCCAGAGTGAGTGCCTGACTCAAGCTGGGTGTTTTAGAGCCTCCCCTGCAAAGCAAGAAGGGCCCCCTTTCAAAGTTTCGTTCTGATGTTAAGACTGATGACACTCCACAAGCAGGAGAATTTTAGAGAAAGTATACTGCTTATACAAGGGACTTCTGGGGAGCGCTTGGCAGGCACAAGTCTGTCTGAACTGGCTTGGGCAAAGCAGAAGGAGAAAGCAGGTTGGACTTTCATAGGAGTTGAGAGATAGGACTGGGGAAAGTGCACGCTGGCTGGGAGGTTTAAATTTCCTGCTACCACCAAATAAGAAGGTGAGCTCACAGGCCTTCTTATAATCCTGCCCAGATGTGGGGACAAGGCAAAAAGAAGGTTCAGGTTTAAAAACAAGTCACAGCTGGGTACCACGGCTGATGCCTATAATTCTAGCACTTTGTGAGACCAAGGTGGGCAGACCACCTAAAGTGAGGAGTTCAAGACCAGCCTGGCCAACATGATGAAACCCTACCTCTACTAAACATACAAAAATCAGCCAGGTGTGGTGGCGCAGGCCTGTAATCCCAGCTACACAGAAGGCTGAGGCAGGAGAATCACTTGAACTCGGGAGGCAGAAGTTGCAGTGAGCTGAGACTGTACCACTGCACTCCACCACTCCTGGGCGACAGAGTGAGACTCTGTCTCAAAGAAAGTAAATAAATAAATAAAAACAAGTTACAAGCCGGTTGTCAAACATCACAAATAAGATCAGTGGCATTCCAGCCTGGGTGACAGAGTGAGACCATCTAAAAAAAAAAAAAAAAAAAAAAAGATCAGACGCTTTATTATGCTGGGTGGGCCAATCACATTCTCTTTCCCAGGAATTTGGAACCACATTTAGGAGCCAGTCAGCTATTCTCTGTTTATAGCTGAAATTGAGGAATATATAAAAACTCAGGAACTGCCATCTTTCCTCCAAAGGTGGAGAAGTAACAAAAGCCAATCTTTAGAGAAATACAAGAAAGCAAACATACCAGAAAGAACTAGAGGTATGAGACCTAGAGCTGCCTGTACTCCGCTGCATTGACAGCGCCTAGCTGCATTACCCCAAGCTAGGCTGCTTCCATGACTTGCAAACAGGGTCTTAACTGAAACCCTAAGGCAGAATTAGCTAAACAAGTGCTACTGTCATGGTAATGAGATTGATAAAAGGCATATTTTAAAGGATGAAATGATTATATCTAGCATATAACCTGGCACAAGATAAACACTGACTAAATGATTCATCCATAAATAGATGAGTGGAAAGAGCGGTAATCTTCAGTTAGAGGATGAGAGGGAAAAGAAGAGTTAAAAAGAGCTTTAAAATTGGAGATGATTTCTTTACCTGAAACTTTTTTTTTTTTGAGACAGGTACTCACTGTGTCACCCAGGCTGGCACCTCCCGGGCCCAACCAATCCTCCCACCTCAGCCTTCCAAGTCACTGGGATTACAGGTGCATGCCACCATGTCTAGTTAATTTTTGTATTTTTAATAGAGTTGGGGTTTCACCATGTTGTCCAGGCTGGTCTTGAATTCTGAGCTCAAGTAATCCGCCTGCCTCAGTCTCCTGAAGTGCTGGGATTACAGGCGTGAGCCATCACACCAGGCCTATTTTTTTTTTTAAATAAAAAATAAAAGAGACAAAAGGCAAACCATTATCAAAGTGCTTTTGGTTAATAATGGGTTTTAATGAATTTGCATACAGTGACAGGTATGGTGGTTCACGCTTGTAATCCCAGCACTTTGGGAGGCTGAGGTGGGTGAATCATGAGGTCAGGAATTCAAGACCAGCCTGGCCAAGATGGGGAAACCCTGTCTATACTAAAAATACAAAAAATTAGCTGGGTGTGGTGGTGGGTGACTGTAATCCAGCTACTCGGGAGGCTGAGGCAGAGAATTGCTTGAACCTGGGAGGTGGAGGTTGCAGTGAGCTAAGATCGCACTACAGCACTCCAGTCTGGGCAACAGAGCAAGACTCCATCTCAAAAAAAAAAAAAAAGAATTCACATACAAAGTGAGAGATGTGTGAACTTCATTTCCTTTTTACCTTTCACCATCGTGATTGCTGACAAAGCATTCATGTTCCAACATCAAACTCTACTGCCAATATAAATCATGGAGATCTGCTAATTAATACGAACACAGGGAGAGAATAAAAAGAAAATTGATAGAGAAAGATAAAGACAGTGAAAGGGAAGGAAGATGGTTAAAGAGGAGAGGAGCTCTCTAAGGAGCAGAGGGTCACTTAATAGATTGGAGAAACGCAGGCTCTGGAAGACTTGGCACATGTTAGATGTCCAATACATGACTTCCTGGAACCTGGACAGAGCTGTTGAAAGGCATGAGCTGGTCCAAGATTCAAGCTTGACATCTGCTACCTGAGCAACTCTGAGTACATTTCTTAACCTCCCTGAGACACCCTTTTAGGAATACCATGGGATTGGTAAAGAAAAGATTAAATTAACCTGTTCCCTCAACTCTAAAATGAAAGTAATCATACTACCTCATGGAGTTATTGTAATAAGTGGGATAATAAATTTTAAATGTCTGGTACACAGTAGTTTTTAAATAAATGACATTTCTCCTTTCCTTATCTCAGTAAGGCATTGTGTCCACTCACTATTTGATTTAGTAGTCCAACAATTCACCAGAATATTGCATTTTATCTTACACCTATTTTACAGATAGGAAAATTGAGGCCAAACAATTGGCCTAAAATCAGTCTCCAAGGTCAAGATCAGAATCCTGCTCACAGATTTCTACTTTTCTATATTTATATCATATTATCTAGTCATTTTCTACTTAATGAGGAGGAATAAAAAGACATAGTCTGAAAACAAGAGAAAAATAGCCTTAGAAAATGTATAATTCAAAAAGGTTGCTCAAAAAAAAAAAAAAAAATTCCAGATAGACCAAACTAATAGCCTTCTACATTTAGAGAAAACCTAGTAAAGATTCACTTGATTTTATTAATGTTTACAGAATAATGCTGAGTAAAAGTACAACCTAAAGTCCCAAAAGCCAAGTTAATCACAGCATTTAGTGAAATGTCTCCATGCTTTACTACCAGATATTAATAATAATATGTTTTAAGAAAAGAACTGTCCTGAAACTAGAAACTAGCCACTCTCAGGAAAATTAGATTGCACTTACAAAATAGAGGTACATTAACTTGCTGAAGCTTAAAAGCTTAAACTTAAGTTGTAAATTAAGAAGGTTTAATAAGTGAGAAAGGTTTGCTTTAGCCACTTCACATTATGAGACAGAATGTTCATAAACCATCATAAATGAACTACAGAACTGCAAATATAGTGTCAGTAAAAAAACACAGGTCATTACTTCATGACACTTCTCATTATCCCAGCAGTATAGCTCTGACTTAGTTTTATTAACTTTCAATGAAAGTTCTGCCAGATTAAGCCCAAGAGTCAAACCACTCCCTGGAGAAAAATTAGGCCTTGATGAAATATTCAGTTCCTCACAATAACTCCATCACTGCAAATTAGGGAATATATTAGATTCCAAAGATATCAAAACATCAGAAAACCATGAGCCAGTATGACATGCTAAACCAATACTAGACAAATCCTAGTAATTCTCTCAATTTAATTTTCTTTGAAAAATATGATATGTAAATTGCCACTAAGATCTTAACTTATAATATTAATCAACTATTAAGAGAAAAATAGCATAACAAAATTTAGAAGAGCCATCAGCTCTACAGACAACAATAGGCTTAAAATTAGATCCTTGGGAGCTAGGTCAATAAGTCACTCTTTCCAGCATCCTCTTCACTGGTGATATGTTTTAAGTCAGGCAACAACTATTTCAGCAAAAGTATTTATTCATCAGTATATCCCTAACTAAAAATGATACTATTTATTCAGTGCCTACTGTGTGATAAGTGCTATCATTAAATATTTGCTAAGCATAATTCCATTTAATACTCATCATACCTCAGGAAGTAGCTACTACTATTACCCCTGCTTCACAGATGAAAATTACTTGTCCACTATCACACGGCTACTCTGAGGAGCTGGAATTTGAACTCAGGTCTGTCTGCCTCTACTGACCCAGTTTTACTTTTATAAATTTATCCAAAGAAAGTAATGATGGATGTAGATAAAGATTTATATACAAAGATATGCAGCATAGCTTTGTTTATAATAGCAAAAGACTAGAAAACATCTAGATGTTTAGCAATGGAGAATTATTAGCAAACTATCATATAGCCATAAGATTCAATACCATGGAACCATTCAAAATTGCTCTTGAAGAATACTTAACGGAATAGAGAAATGTCAATTATATGTTAAGTGAAAATATCAGGATGTAAAATAATACATATACTATGATTAAAATTATATGTTGTACATAAGTTCATATACATATGTGTATGCATGTATATATATATATATATGTACTAATTAGATCAACAGGCATATATATACACAAAAATAAAAGAATATCTCTGGATTAGGGTTTCTCAGTCTTGACACCACCGACATTTTATGCTGGATAATTCTCTGCTATGGGGGCTATCATGAACATTGTAGGGTGTTTATCAGACTCCCTGGCCTCTACTCACTAGATGTCAGTAGCACCCTTCTGGTTTGTGACAACCAAAAATTTCTCTAGACATTGACAAAATTGCCCCAGGGTAAGAACTCTGCTACTCTGGATGACAGGATAACACGTACATTTATTTCTTCTTCGTGCATTTCAGTATTTTTCAGCATTTCTAAAATTAATATATATGTGTTACATTTGTAATCCAGGAAAAAAAATGTTATTGTCAAAAAGCAAATTCACTGAGAAGGAATGATTCCTATTTTATAAGACAAAACAGTAGTAATGGAAAATACATGTTAAAGGAGGTTTAGAATATCTGCTGTGATTTTTATTTCCATCAAAAATTACTTCGTAACTGCTTAAGAGAAACATAGCAGAAAAATGAGCAGAAATCTCTTCTACCTGTGTGAGGAACATCCGAGCAGTAATAGTTGAAAGAGGTGGATAAATCAGAATTGGTTTAGTTGTCTCCCCAATAGCACCCCCAACAAGCTTTCCATTATTAGAATAGGCAGCAACTGCAAATACATATTTTTCATTGGTTTCTAAACCTTTCACTTCGAAAATGCTTTTACCGTCAGCTGGTATCTATTAAGAAAAATATATTTCAAGTTATACATGGAAAATTAAAATAACATGACTTTTTAAATACAATTAAGTAAACCTTCTATTTAAAAAAAAACACTTTTCTTAGTCACTGTTGAATTTTAGTTATGATTCAAGTAGAAATTAGAGAGATTCACCAAAACAATGACTTCATCAAAAAATTTAATTATCATAATAATTTAATATCATCATAATTATCATAGTAAGATCTCCTGACATTGAATTTGACATACCGCTTCTCCTGAATTTGGGAGATGATTATTGTTTAGCCGTACTTTTCCATAACTTCCTTCTGCTTTGCAACCCAAAATGCAGTACCAAGAGACCTGCAGAGGAGAGAAATGACCCTGTTTAAAAGGCATTCTTTAATATCAATGTAGCAAAAGAAAACTTTTCTAAATAAAAATCTAACTATTCAAGTTTTAAAACATGAAATTCAAGTTTACAAATATATTTAGGTTTAATTTTTAAAAAGTAAAAGTAACCTTAGCTAGTTTACCGGGACAATCGAGACTAAAATATTATTCACTATTAATTATTTTAACCACCATTAATTGAACAGTTCCTACTGCTAAGTACTGTTAAGAAATTTACAGATATTTTCTAATATGTACAACTCTATGAGATGGGGTTACTATTGTCATTTTGCTTCACAGGAAATGGAGGTACAGAGATGTTAAATAATTTTGCCCAACATCAGACAGACACTGGCTGGGGTTGACTCCTAAAATGACTTAGTCTTCGTGGAAAAAAAGAAGGCCAACACTCAAATGATTTTCATATTTTATATGATAACGTATGACACAAAAAGCAAGTGGTAAGAGAAGCAAGTCATTAAAATCTAATATTTTAAATAAAATGTAAAAATACATATGAAAAAGCCTGGAAGAAAACACCCCTAAATAAGAACAGCAGTAGGATTTGGATGATAAAATGGTAAGATGACAGGTAGTTAATGGGTCAATTTTTTCTCCAATTTATACATTTTCTGAAACATTATATCTAGTTTGTTATATTTTGAATATAAAAATTAGACATAAATCAAACACAAAATGTAAATCCCAAAGCAACAACTCAACTTAATCTTGAGTAAACGCTTAGACAATGATCCTTTTGCCAAGGTGTCAAGATAATGACAATTCATTATTGGAATGAACTTTTCTCCCTATAGAGAAAAAGGGAGGTAGGTGACACCTGAGGGTGTAGTATTATGAACGAGCCATACTACTGGGGGTTGTAGGGGTCATGGCTATGTCATTACCTTCTTCCCAGAGGCAACTCCTAAACAACAAGGCAAGCTAGAAAGAAGGAAAAATGCCACTGTCTCTAAGAAGCAACTACCTCTTACAGCTTGTGTCTGCTACTCCTTCCTCCAGGTCAACAGGAAAATACTAACGATGTCCAATTAACACAAGTGGTTCTCAACCCTGACTGTGCTCCAGAATCACTTCTTTGAAATACAAATTTGGGCAGAATCAACCATTTTCATAAATTACAGATACCCAATCCTGTCTAACTTCAATGAATTAGAATTTCTGGTGCAAGTGTCTAAATCTTTGTATTTCCAAAGGAGTATTTCTCAACTGATTGTGATATGCACAACTGATTAAAAAGCACTAGTCAAAGGCAGAACAGGAAAAAGGGAACACAGAAGGAACCTGGAAGCTGGAGGGCAGGGTTTAAAAAAAAAAAAGAAAAATCAGATGAATCTCAGAAAAAAAATATGCAAAACTAACTTCCTTTGATTTCTCATGCAAAAAGATATCATTTTCAAAGAAGAAAAACAGCAGAAAGACTATGTGCTATAACTTACATCATTATTGCTCCAAGTTCTATTATATAAACCAGAATTTGGAGGATAAAATTCTCTCTAAAAGCATTTTTACAAGCTAACTTTATATTTTTATTTTGTTCCACAGACGAAGACATCTTATTTGTGTAACTCTAAGAAACAATCTGTAATTAGAATCTACATAAGGGTAAAGATATCATGAACAAATCAGCACTAACTTTAGAAGAGTTTACACGTAATGTAAATAACATTAGAATTTTCAACTATAAAAGTAGATTTTAATGAAATGAATGCCTCAACAAGAGATTTTGAGAAAACAAAAGATGGCTGAAGCCTCGAACCAGAAAACTTATTTAAGCCCATAGCACCATCTAGTGTTGAGAAGGTAACAGATGGTAATAATTTCCTGGAATTCTTAATATGCATAATACATACAAACTTCCTATAATGTGCTCATTGATGAGTCTTAAAACTACAGGCCAAATATGAGACTCTTCTATCTTCCTACTTCCAAGTATTATGAAATAAAATAATCACTAAATTGAAGTATATAAAGAATAAAATTTTGGTTAAAGAAACCCAAATATTTGAATAAAAGCAAACAAAAACACTTGGTAAATCACATGATCTTAATTCTGTACTAATTTTCCAAAATCAATGAAGTTCTGTTCTTAAACAGATTTCAAAAATCCAAAGTTTAATTTTAAAAGCACTAGCAATAGCAATAATGCATTTATCACAGAATGGTTAGGTACAAAATGAATGTCACTTCTATTCCCCTACTCTCCCAATTATAAAGCATTATGAAGGTTGTTATCAGTTGTCACTGATGTCCATTTGCCAATCGTCTGAAGTTCCTCAAAGAATGCAAGCACATTTAATCCATATTATCTTTATGCCTCAATTACCTCAAACAGAGCTTGACAGATTATAGGCTCTCAATAAATGCTCATTGGACAGAATCCACACACACACAAAAAAAATCACCAAATAATGTAATCACAGTCTATCACTTCATTCCTTTTTTTTTTTTTTTTTTTTAAAGACAGAATCTCACTCTGTCACCCAGGCTGGAGTACAGTGGTGTGATCTCAGCTCACTCCAACCTCTGCCTCCCAGGTTCAAACGATTCTCCTGCCTCAGCCTCCTAAGTAGCTGGGATTACAGGTGCCCACCACAACGCCTGGCTAATTTTTTGTATTTTTAGTAGAGACAGAGTTTCACCATGTTGGCCAAGATGATCTCAAACCCCTGACCTCAGGTAATCCACCTACCTCATCCTCCCAAAGTACTGGGATTACAAGTTTTTGAGTAAGCTTTACTACTTATGTTTAAAACAAGAAGTGGAAAGATATCAGTTAATATGCCAAAAATATGATACATTATCTCATTTAATTTTCAAAGAAAAAAAACTTTCCAAATTAAAAAAAAAAAAAAACTCAGAAAATATATTTAACTTTCCTAAGGTCAGACTTCCAGAAAAGGTTGGAGCTAGAATTATAAACCTAAATCTGACTCCAAAGCCTGTATTCTCTCTACTATACCAAGTTGACATAACTTCAAGCAGGACATCCTAAAGAGAATCAAAGATAAAACTTTATTTTTATATAACATCAAAGAGCATGTTGTTGATCATCTTAAAGAGGAAAGTGTAGTTTGTAAAATATAAATTAGGTAGAACCAAATTCTTGTGAAGAAACTTAATTTCAAGTTTCAGTCACATACAGGCCAAGTTCTGAGGCATCAGAGATGGGAGAAAAAGCTCATCCTCCAATAAACACACAAAGATGTACGGTTTATAATATGGTTGGAGTTCCTATGTTTGCATTGAAAGAATCTACATTTAATTGGAAAGACTTTGGGCAGAACCTCTAGACTCATCACCTCCAAATTTCCACACTCTGCTGCTTCATATCTGTCACTGTCTCTGAAAGCAACTTCTACCCTCTTCAAATGTCTGATTCCACTATAAGTAAGACTTCAATCTTGAGCATACGAGGATGTCAGCGTATGGTGTGTCATGGTGACAAGGATACTCACAAGGAGGTGCTTCTCTACTGTTTCTTCTAACAGTATATTTAGGCATAGCAATGCTATACAGAACATATCATAAATATAACAGCATCAGGGGTAATATGTCATGAAGAAACAAAGTATAAATAAGACTTGGAATATTAATCCAGTGTTCAGTGTTTATAAATATGACTATCCAGTTCCTGAAAGCAATCAAAGTATGAACCATAGTAGGCATAAAAGTACTTATGTTGTTTTGCATGAGGCAAAAATCATACTGGACACCATACCTTAACCTCTGAAGTAAATGGAGCAGGTTTGAGTGTCACAGAACAGTGAGTTCGAGACAGCAGGATAGGTGGAGGAGGGACTCTGCTTTTCTTTCTTTTTGAACTTTCCAAATATTTCTGATAGGAATACAGGGCATTTTGTTCAGCTTCAATCCTCTCAATTAAAGAATATGCTTCCTATAATGAAATATGAAAATAGAAAAATACATGTCAAGAGCTTGAACTCTATTCACGTTTATAGAATTCTATAATTCAATATTATCTTTTCATATGTATTTTTTGAGCCTCAGAGGCTCAAATATATACATGTCTGTTTCAACTATTTAATGATTTTGCAAAAGTGAAAGATGCCTACTAAATAAGGTTAATCATGATCACCAATGGCATCATATTTATATATCTTATATGTTTATCATTATTATTATACATGAATATGAGACATTATATTTTGAATTGAATATTCTAAGTATCTACCATCATATTTCATTGTCCTTAAAAGTTTATAACACCATCATCATTTATGCTGATGAATTATACATACACCCTAATTCAACTGAAGCGTGACTCTCAAATATTGGTATATGTGGTTTATGAAATAAGTATTATTGAGAGTTTCTTTCTATCAGCAAGAAGAAATAAAATAGAAAAAACACATTCTGTGAAACTGATGGAAAGGCAACCACTTTGTTAAAAGATTATACACAGAGAGATAACACATAAAACAAAGGAGAAATATAAAAATCTGGCCTAAATAACATTTCAAAAGTAGGGCTAAATATGTAAGCAATAATAATGCATGTAAATGGGTTACACTTTCTTTTAAATTAAATTAAAAGGCAAAGACTCTCTGAGTTCTAAGTAAAAACCCATGTAAAGATTAAAATTAAGTGAAAGAATAGTCATTTCAACAAATGGTGCTGGGACAATCAAACATTACATGCAAAAGAATAAAGCTGGACTCCTATTTCACACTATAGACAAATAGTAACTTAAAATGAATAATACATTCAAATGTAAGAGCTAAGATTATAAAACTCTCAGAAGAAAATATATGACCAAATCTTTGTGACCTCGAGTTAGGTAGTGGTGTTTGGAAGATTTAATGCAATGATGCATTTAAAATGCTTAGTGTTTTGAACAGAGTAAGCAGTCAATAAATGTTAGACATTACAATCACGATTACTACTACTATTCTTTCTTTCACTTTAAGCACTCTGGAACATTCTGTTTTGTCATATCAGGACTATCAGGACTATTATTATTAATCTTTCACTTTAAGTGTTCTGGAACACAGAAAGCACAATGACAAGAGAAAAAGTAGGTAAGTTTGACTTTATCAGAATCAAAAACTTTTGTGTTTCAAAGGATACCATCAAGAAAGTGAAAAGACAGCCTACAGAATAGGAGAAAGTGTTTTCAAAATCAAATGTCTGATAAAAGGCTTGCATTCAGCATTATATGCAATGTTATAACTGAGAATTGTTATAACTCAATAATAAAAAGGCAAATAACTCCTTTTAAATATGGGCAAATAATTTGAATAGACATTTCTCCAGAAAAGACACAAACACCCAGTAAGCACATGAAAAGTTGTTCAACATCATTAGTCATTAGCAAATTAACTCAAAAAGCAAGAAACCAAAACACAGAAACAATAATGGAAGAAACTGGAAACATTATCCAAAAATTATTTCATGTAAAAGTGCCAGGCTCAAATGAGTTCATAAACAAAATATTTTAATTCCAAAGATCTGATCATTCCTATGCCATTTTAAATGTTTCCAAATACAGAGAGGAACAGATATCTTCTCAAATAATTTTATAAAACTATTATAACTTTGATAACAATCTGAAAAATGGCTACACATAAAAACACAGACCAGCTGTTTTATAGAACAGGACTCCCTGGAAGGGCAACAAAAAATGTGAGAGTTTCGATGAGGAAGAGGACAGAGCCATAAAAGATAAGGGGATTTCCCTAAGAGGCTGTGGAAAAACTTTGAGGGGAGAAAGTCCTACTAGAACAGAAAGGAGATTAAAAGCTATTATATTTTGACCATTAAATATTAATGTGTCTTCACTTGCATCACAGCTGTAGAGACCGAGATATTTCATGTTACATAAGAACAGATAAAATCAGCCTAAGGAAAAATTATGCAACACAGGGAAAAGAGACCAATGCCCCACTACCCCTGGAAATTTGGAGACATATCCTTCTTTGGGATTATGTTCGGAGCCTGTAAAATATACTGGCAACACTGGCCCACTGACCCTGATATTCAAGCTAACTGCCTTGGACCCCCATATCAACTGACTAGCCAACCTCTCTGGGCTCCAAATTTGATCTCAAAATTTGTCTTGGTAGTTCCTGCTTCAGTGAACCAGTTGGACACTAGCACCTTCTGACTTAATTCTTGCATCTTCTTTTTTTACAGATATATTTGTAAGAATTACAAATACTTTTCTTACATTTTACAGATATAAATGCAAATATCCTAAATAAAACACATAGAATACTAATACATTTATTCTAACAATATATCAATGAATATAATGCATCTTCTTTCTGCAAATCAATGAATCCAACTGGGGTAAAACATATTATGTTCTGCCATGACTATAACATAGACATTTCTTACCTGGGCTGTTGATCAGTATCACCTATGGAGTTTATTGAAAAATAAGAATGGTCCATTTCTACCCCAAAATAAAAATCTCCAGGAGTGGGGCTTGAACATCTATATTATTTACAAACACCAAGGATAATTCCAAAGTAGGGCAAGAATTGGGAACTACTGATTCAGGTGAGTAAATCTCCTTTTCCCTCTCGCCTTTCTCCCAGTCTCTCCCTAGTCTCTTCAACCTCCAGTCTTCTAGTTCTTCAATGGTTCCTCTAATAGTTGCCAGATAAAGTGCAAGCTTTTCCAAAGCCCTTTTCACTTTGATCATGACTACATTTTCTAGACTTATCCCACTTTCTACTGTTTCCCTCTCTCATACCTATCTCTCTGTCCAACCGAACCTCTGAAACTATTAAAAACAAATCACTCATTTCCTAAAATGCTGTTATTTCATGCCTCAGAATCGCCCATGCAATTCCCTCTTCCTGGAGCATCTTATGTCCTCTTTGCTTTAAGACCCACACATATATCACCTCTTCTGACAACTTCCAAGAGAGCCCAGGTACTTACATAAGCCATTTCTTTCATTATATAGTATCTTTATTTTACCAGGTATTATACAATATGCTACCTCTGTACTTGACTGTCCATACCCTCTAAACGTTGAGTGTATTGGCAGGAAGAACAGTGCTTTGTTTATCTCTTTAAGTTCAATCAATGTGTTTGGAATATAAGACACATGAAATGATGAAAAAGAAGGGTGATCTTTATTATATCTTTTAAGATAGCATGTTCAAAATGTTCTCATTGGCTCTTGATCAATTTTACTTTAGATCCCTAACTCAGATCCCATGGCCCCATTTGAAATAAGTTAACAGAAGTATTAAAGTTTCAAGTGAAAGGTAACAAAGGAAAAGTTTATAACAAAGCCCTTGATTTAGGTAAATCAGATAAATTTCCTAACAGAATTCAAGGCAAGCCCTAACGCTAGTTAAAAACTGGAATCCTAATTTAAGTAAGCCAATTTATTGAGCTGCTAATAAGATTCTGTTTATGAAAAAGTGCCTGGGGCTTTTAAGGGGTTTTTCAACTAGAAAAAAAGAAATAACATCAGAAAATCCCCCAAAACATCAAGAAGGAAAAATTCCCCTGAAACCAATTCTACTTAGTCATGAGAAAGTATTACCAATATGGACCTGAATGTTGTCTATAATAGCAATGCTCTAGGATACTAAACTGTTACAATTGCAAAACATAGACAAACCATTCTCTAATCAGAGATCAAGAAATAGGCTTTCCATGACATATCAGATAATCAAAAATAACTATATAATCACATCTTGCATTGTCTAGCACAGTACCTCAAAAACTATAAAGGTTTAGAAACTTTGAAAGAAGATATGAGCCTTTACCTATCACAGGGACTCGGCCAAGGAATCTCAATGGAAAGGGATTTGCACACCAACTCACAATGAAAATAAATTCTAAGTGTTCTTTCAATGGTGGTTTGCATTGCAATATGCCACAAAAACCACTGTACTGAAGTCCAAAGTATTTTTGTCTGAATGTAAATTTCTTTGCATATAGTTTCCATTAGAGAAAATGAAACCTGCCTCTCTTCCAAAGTTACTCAAAGCTTATAAGTACAGATCGATGTTAAATACATTTGACACAGGCTTAGCGCCCACCGTGCAGCAAAACACTAATGGAAAGATGCAGTGCAATCTTGAGGGTGTGAATAAGACATATGTAAACAACTATCACAGGACTGGAATGAGAAAGTGCCATATTTCCTACATATCTGGTAGACCCCCTGAGGTATATTCTGGGTTCTCAACATTATAATGTACATTGTAGAAAATGATGAAAAGTAGATTAAGTCACATCCAGGAATCTTGAGAAGGAATATTGCTTAGAATAAAATATACAAGTAATAAGATAAATCTAAAAGAAAACAGAAAGAAATGTGTAGTCTGATGGAGGAAAATATATCTAAAGCACCAAAAAGTTCAAAAAGAATGTCCCGGAGTGCTTAAAGTGAAAGAGAAATAATAATAGTTCTGATATGACAAAACTGAATGAAAAACAGTAATAATAATAATAGTGGTTAACATTTATTGACTGCTTACTCTGTTCCAAACACTAAGCATTTTATATACATCATTACATTGAATCTTCCCAAGAACCCCTGTTTCACAGATGAAGAAATTAAAACTTAAGAAAGGATAAATAACTTGACAGGTCATACGGCCAATCAGTGGTAGAACCAGAACTCTAATCCAAGACCCTTATGCTCCTAACCACTATGCTATCTTGTCTTAACAAAAAACCCAGTTAAAAGAAGTTTGGAAAGGCAACTTAGATGAACTTTCCTATGCAAAAGCCTTAAATCACTTAAAGGAAAAAAAGTCTAGGCTGGGAGTGGTGACTCATGTCTGTATTCCCAGCATTTTGGGAAGCCGAGGCAGATGGATCACGAGGTCAGGAGTTTCAGACCAGCCTGGCCAATATGGTGAAACCCCATCCCTACTAAAAATTAGCTGGGCATGGTAGCAT